GAACAACTAAAATTCTAACAGGTTTAGTATGCCGAAGGTCAGCTCTAAGGAATTTGTGGACAATAGGGTCCCAGGGAAATGAAGGCCTCTACTTTCAAGAACTAGAGAATTATATCATAAGTGAATTTGTAATGGAGGACTATCTAAACAAAATGAAAATAAAAATGAAAATAAAAATTAAAATAAATACTATCATTGAAATAGTAGGATAAATGAAGACCATCGAAAACCAGAAGAATTGGGTTTTATCTTGCTAAAAGCATATCAAGAAATTGATACCTAAAAGAGGCTTTTCCTTGTGGCTATATGATCAGCTGTATTACCCTTCTTGTCACGTTCATTTAATATTGTCATCGGATTCCAGTAATTCCTATACTACAGAAGTATCCTGACCTTTTACAGCCACATGCAATGCATTTTGGCCACTCTTATTTCTGATGGAGAGAATCCTGGATCTTTTACTGTGGAGACAATATGATCTAATGCAATTCATTTCTATGCTCATTTTAGGATTGACTTGGAAGTGCTATAGATCCTCTGAATATGGAACGATCAAGCCATGGCAACTCAAGAATAATCAAAATGGTTAAAACAAGATGCTAAGTTCAAATTATTCAATTAAGTTGCTAAGTTCATTTGTTTCACTAAAGTGTTCATATATGATGTCTAATCCTTTTCACAAGCCAAGCAGGGCCCTATGAGGTCATTGAGAAATACTAGATGTGAAGTGCAACCACCATCTGATTTCCTATTCATGCCAACACCTGGAAATGGATTAACCAGTACTGCACAATTTACCAACTATGTTCATCCACTTAATGAGGCAGACAGTTCAACAATGGGAAAAAGTTCCTGTACAGATGGAAACTGCAAGTATCCACTTGAATCCTTGATGGAAGATTTGCAAGATATAGCGAATCAAGAGAAAGTAAAGAAAAGAGCAGCCATGGGAGAAAAAAAGGCTTGTCCCTGGTCAGTTCCATTTGTAATACCACAAACGGAAAAAATCAGCAACTCAATCGTATTTTTATTTTTAGTTTAACCCTGTTAGGCTTCCATTCACTAAAACTCATTTTCCTCAAACTTATTTTCAACCACACATTTCATGAACCCACAAATTTTATCAATTTTAATCACAAATTTCATTAACTTTCATCAAAATTTACTAGAACTCGGATTTTTGTCTAAACCAGATGAGGGGTATGTTTTATGGAGTTTCTGGGTTTTGAAGACAAAAGAAAATGAATTGTTGTAATCTTTTGTGGGGCTTATATAGCATTTGGTATGTTGTTGGTAGTCTGAAATTATGAAGACAAAAATCAATGAGCAGGAGTTGAAAGAAATTGCAGGGTCTGGGGTTTATATTTATAACTAGTTTAAGCGTTTAGTTTCTAGATTTTATTCATCTTGTGGTTTCAATTTCCTTGTTCTTAGATGTCCAACAAATAGGCCTTACTTAGTGCTGCTGTTCATCTGAAGCATTAAGAGAACTTACTGTTTGGATATTCCGTTGAACAATGTATTCTAAGCCAGATTCTTGTTAGGTGATTTGATTTACTTTTGTCGAATTTTGTGTTTTCTACAGTCAATTGCTTGATTATGTGTTGGTGAAATTCTTATATTTGATTCTTGCCAGTAAATAGATAATTGTACTGATTGAGACATGTATGATTGGTGAAATTCTTATATTTAATTCTTGTAGTATATGAAGATACTCCATCAAGTGATAAATAGACCACGGTTTCATATATTTCGTTGGAGAAAAGAAGGAACAGAGAGTAATATTTTACTTCTTAGGGATTGCAAATGAACTGAATCACTAAATTACGAAGGAAAATTTACATGATACACTCCGTATGTAGGTGTAATCAAAGTAGATGTGTTAAATGAGTTGAGACGCTTCCACCTTTGAGCTCGGCTCAGCCCGCCTAGTGAACTAGCTCATGCTCACAAATGGGATGACATGAGCCCGAGTTGGTCCGATTCACAACTTCTTGACTCGTCCTACAAACTCCCCTTGGTAGGACGAGCCAAGTCGGTTCATAAACCAATTTGCGGTTCTTTTTCTTTAAACTAAAAATTGCATTTTCATTGGCCAAGATGGTGAGTGGGCGCTTCGAGCCGATGAGCTAAGACTGCGAGCGGCTCGCCCCCTCTTAACACCCCTAAATTACACTTTACACATCGTACTTTTAAAATATACATTTTAAGATAAGTAGAATGAAAAATGTCTATATATTAAAGACTTTTGATTTCATGAAATACATAAAGAAAAATAAAATGCTACTTTCATTAAATTAACTGTATTATTTTCTTTAAGTTAACTCTACTAAATTAATCATTCTTAGTTACAATAGTGTAGTTTACCAATGGGCTTAAGTGGAAGAATGGAATTACAAGGAAATAAATAATTTGATTGATATGATCCTGAAGTGTAAGGAAATTAAGATATTTTTTTCCTTATTACTTCCCCACAATTTTCAAGAAAACTGAAGATTTTAAGTGATTATAAGCTGTAGATTGTAGATAATCAGTAGTAACCGCGAATTCCATGTATGGACAAGAAGTATGCTTAATAAACTTAAATTATAATTTAAGAATTACTAAACGTATAATAAGTTTGTATACAAGCTTGACATACATCTAAAATGCATTTGACATTTTTGCTAGGGGTGCATACATAGACGACATATACAACTTGTTTTTGCAAAGGAATAGGCTGAAAGCAATGGTTTAAATTATAATGTTTTTTTATTTCCTTGCTCTTTCAAATGAGTAATGCTGGAGAAACAGGACCTACGTGGCCCTGTTTGAGAAGAATTATTGTTTTCAAATACATATGATTATTAATCTATTTGAAAAATATATTAATAGGGGGACTAACAACTTTCATGGAACACATAGGATAACTAAATTTTTTCCTACAAGTCATGATTGAGTTCCCCTTTAGACTTCTCACACTGGCAGCAATCTTTAACTGTGGAGCTATGCTGTCACTCTTTAGCTGTTCTCGTCGTTTCTTTTCTTTCGATAATTTTTCTGCAAACCTGTAAAACATTCATAATTTTGCGTGATCAGTTTATATGGTGTACTTCTTATTAATTAAGCACCGCATTAGATTGAAATATGAACAAGATTCTAACTTTTACCTTTTGAGAGCATTCTCATTTGTGCCTCCATTAGGGACCGGCTCGGTAAGTCCTGAATCTAAATTAACCCTTGAAAACGGTTTCTTTAATAGCCTCTCACCAATTTTGACAAGTTGATCTAAATTTTCCTTTGTTGCAACATCAACTGAAGATTCTATTCCAGATAGTGTATCATCCTAAGTTGAAAAGGGATCAATTAATTAATACCAGAGATGAAATCTAAGCATGGCAGATTCAAAGATTAAAGTGAAATCCAACATACTTGAATTCTAAGGTAATTTTCCTCAGAACAAAGGGCTTGGAAAATCAAAGAATTGTGAAAATCAACCATATCTGCACTTGCTTGAGTGAATATTTCAACCAAAGGTGTAGAGCCTCCGTAAAGCAGCCAATTCAAAATACCCCATTTGGCTGCAAGTTTGCTGTTGTATTTTTTATCTACCCTTGCAACACCTGTGCCTACTGATAGTGTAAGAAGACGAGGATAATCCGCTGGCTTTGTTTGGAATACGTCTGAATTATGGTCAAACATCTGTTTGGTTACTTGAGTTATAGCTACCAAAGCCTGAAAACAATGTGTAACTAATTAGAGAATAATGGGATAACATTTTGGTTTCTTTGAAGATATACAACATTAAAATGCTACATAGTATGTCAGCTACTAAATTGCTACCTAACTGCACATGAATGTGCTGGGCCTAAGAACGAGAAGCTGGTCGCTACCTCGAGGATATGGAAATCTAGTTGAGTTTCTCTATTAGAGTAATTAATAAATTGAGAATATTACCGGATTATTTGCAGCAACACCACCGTCAATGAGATTATACTCTCGAATGAGTCCATTTTCATCTTTGGTCGTGAAGTGGTGGCCAGGAAGGAAAGTTGGAGCTGCTGAAGTACTAATGCAAATATCAGACAATTTAGCATCTAATAATGGGGATCTCTTTGCCTGCATCACAAAATAAACTGTTATTTTTTGTTTGTTAAGGTGAAAATTCATTTAAGGTCACATAAAACATTTGTTTAAAATCTGGAAAGCCATAAGGGGGTCAAGACAGGTATATCGTGGAATAATTAAGAATAATTCGGAAATGCTACCATATAGTATTGTTCAGCATATATATATAAATATATGAAGAAAACTTCAGTGTCAATAAATTATTTGTACCATTTTTGGAGGCTTGATACTTGCATTTATAGGGGAAGATCCTACTTAAAATTATGCAGTTCTACCCTTTGACAAAACTTCTGAAATGTCAAAAGCTACTTCTGAAACCAAGAAGACACTTCTAAATTCGATTTGGATAATTTTTTGAAAATGTTTTGGCTGATTTGAAGAGCTTTTAAAGGAAGCAATCTGAGAAAGCTTTTCGACAAGAGTAGAAACAAAATAGAATCCCTGCCAAATGCCCCCTTAGAACTTTGAATCGGGGCTAAACCTATATATATAATATCACATATAAGATCACGAAGATATTAACATAAAGAATTAAAGATGGGGAAGACCTCATAGGAAGAGAAAATCACTGGCTGTAAAATCCCGATGTCGAAAGCTGGAATAACAACATTTGCAAGAGTGTCGGACAACCTAATATTTTTCAGTTTTTCTTTCAACACATTATGCAGGTGCTTTCCATCGTACAAGGGACCTATCAATGCTTTGAAAAGCCTTCCAATTTCCCCAAAAGCACTGCAGTGATCAAACAAAATCTCATCGTCAAATATAAACCTAAACATCAGTCATACTATCAGGTAGTGTAAATTTGAAAAATATACTGTTTCTTGAATTTGATATGCCTGCCTCTTTGTAGTGTTTTCATTTACTCTATATATTAAGAAGAAAGAAAATAAGATTACTTCGTCTGTGGAAAGATTTTAGGGCAGTTCTCTAAATAGAAAGGCTTGATATCTTTAGCAGCATAAAGGGGACGATTGTTTTCATCGGGAGCAGTCAACATGGCTGATACAAGGCCACCGGTGCTCGTTCCAGCAATCACATCGAAGTAATCTGCAAGTCTTGCTTCCTCCCCATCCAGCTCCTGAACAATTATACGGTTATATTTAAGTCAAAATTCATTGATAATTCCAAAATACGTAGCGCTCCCAAAGGTATCCCATAAAAAAATTTTGGACATCCCCCCTGGGCGAACCTGTAGGGCCAAGAATTGGTATGGAAATAGTTTTCAACCAGCAATAGACGCGCCTAGTTTAGAACCTTACTAGCTGCGTCATCGCTCCGAGCACAAAGATATATAAATGTACCTGAAGTTGAGATTCAAGAAAATCAAGGATAGCGGCTGGAATAAGTCCTCTGATACCACCACCATCAATGCTCAAAACTGTTATATAATTTTCATAGTTTGGTGGCTCGATGTTACAATTTCTCTCCATTTAAGAAGGCTTGCAACCTGTAAATTGAGGAACGGACAGACTTATGTGGAGGGAATATGGGAAACACCTTTTGCTAGCACCTTTCGGAATTGGAAATTAAAATAACTTTGTAGTCATGACCCCATATACTTGGAACGATTCTTAAGTCAATAATAGAATTTGCAGACCAAGAAATTTCTATGTTCAAACTATAGACATTCCAACTTTAAATGCTAAGAACTTGCTAGGCGGCTCAACAACCAATGTATTCAATGTTTTCAATATTTAGCCCCTATTTGGTACTTATCTAAATTAAATTTTAATTTAAGTCAAAATCAAAGAATCAATTTTAATCACATATTTCACAGGTCTCACAATTTTTTAATCACACATTTCAAAATTTTTTTATCAAAATTTACTAAAAATCTAATTCTAATTTCCACTAAACATGGGCTTAATATCTGTATATGAAATTTCTAATTCATAACCCACAAATCATAATTTAGCAAGTATTTGCTTGCTCCTAACTATAATGCGTTAATCACATTCTTTGAAGGTGAATCCTATATCGATTAAATCCTATCGTGGTCACCACATGATGAACCCGATGACTGCTGTCCCATCTGGGTCACTAGTTGCTGGTTGAGTCAAGTCAAGTGCCATATCGAAGAGATCACATAATTAAACGAACTTGGGAGAAAAGAATGACTTCATTGACTTCAAAAGTATATACAAACAATTACATAGGTAGTGGTACACTTTATTACTTTAATTTAATGAGCCTATGGTTGCTTTAACAACTTTAAAAAGATTTAAACGTGACATTAGATTATATTATATTATATAGTAAGTGATAATTAATAGGAAAAACCTATTTGGCCAGCAACAGCCCCTCCAATGTGTGCCACATGGGCATCTTGTTGTTTGGCCGGGATTTAACCCTGACCAAACAGCACGACTATAATTAATAATAACAATTAACAATCATGCAATAGGCCTTAATCTATATGGCAATTTGACCAATTCGGTACAACTTGTCATTTTTTTAAGCAGTTTTATTCATTCAAGAAATGTACGTATATAATAAGCGAATGCATGTGACTTCAACTTTAGCAGAAAATATTCTTAGGCAACACCCTTAGATAATATATTAAACTTTCCACTTTTGTGGGTTTTAGATATATTCCCCAAATCATGAACCCACATGGTATTGATTCTTCTTCAAGGTCTGGTTTTAAGTATGCAAGTTCCATTTAACTTCTCGGTCATCAATTCCCGTAAAGTTCACTGGCGAGCAAGACTATTTTGGAGAATGCTCTAATTATTATAATAACCAAATCAAAATAAGATGCATTACTTCTGAAAATTTCCATAGATTCCTCAGTGTTTGGACAAAGCACACATTTTAAGGCACCATAGAGTAAGGTCATTTTTCGAAACCGCACATTCTTCGAATAAATTATTTTAATTTTGTGTTCAAAGGGAGACAGGTTAACCATTTCTATAAAATAAAGAAATACAAAATGCCATTATGATAAAATAATAATAATAATATAAATAAATAAATAAATAAATAAATATAGATATATTCTCTGAAATTGATTCAATATATCGGCAATAGGTTCGTACAGATTCAAAAAAGGTTAAAACACATGCGTGGAACTATTTCGAAGTCTAATGTCTAAAATATTCTAAGATATCATGTGAGGATCTGGTTTTGTGTAAGGTATTGTACGTTGTGCCTTCTTTATCGTCTAGAACTCTTTCATTATATTATTTTTTTTCCTATTTTTTAAGATATTTTCTCAAAATGATGATCATGTGGATAAATAACGAAATAATGAAATAAAGTAGAACAAAACAAGTTTTTAATTTGTTGTGAATTGACCAGAAGATCATGACAATAATGAAATAAATTAGAACAAAACAAGAACCCAAACGATATTTTCAACGGAATTATGGACGAATGATGAGTCAACAACAGGGAGTGCCACATCTTAAGGCGCCTAAACTACTCGAGGTAGCCAATCAAAATGTTCTTGAAGACAGTGAAGAGACTGGTACAGGTGAATCGATGGAAGAATTGCCAGAAAGTTCTTCTGGGAGATCGAAGTTTGAGCGAGACAGAAGGGATGAAGAAGATTCAGATTAGCCCCTTACTATTCAGTTCGGTACGTTACCTCCTGTCATGACTAATAACTATTTACTAGCCAATGAGTCCAATAACAAAGAGAAAGAAGAAGAAGAAAATGAGGATAATGAAGAAAAAGTATGTGTGCTGGAATGTGAAGAAGGCAAAACTTCTAGAGGGGCCTACAATGATGAAGATGATGATGGTATGACGGACATCGAAGAGGAAATTAATCTGGAAGCAAAAAGAAGAAAGAGAGGAGTATCGCGCAATATCCTATTGAAGCAACTACATAGAGAAAGTGTTCGTGAAGTGGATTTGTTGGGAGAACCATTTAGGCGTTCTTTCGATTATTATGTGTTGTATGGGACACCCAAGAGAAAAAGGAGAGTACCTCGCTCTGAAAAGTATGGGTCACTTCCAAGAATATTACCTCCTCCCACAGGTTGGGTAACCGAAGAAGAAGTATTAGAAAACAATAAAAAGAAAATTCAGGAAGCGAGAGCTCAGTGTGACATACTGCACGTTGACTTATCACAAAAGGATAATTCAGTAGAGAACAAGCAGGAAGTGGAAATAGATGCTATCGAAAATGTTATTTTTAAGAGACAGTTATGAAGTTAACTAAACACTTGAGGCCATTGTACGTTAAGGCTTTAGTTAATTGTATACTTGTGACGAAAGAAATTATTGATAATGAAGCAGCTATAAACACCATTCTATCTAGGATGATGAGAAAATTTGCAAAGACAGAAAGTGATATGATTCCAACAGAAGTCATCCTTACAAGTTTCAATGGAGGAGCAACTTCAGCTAAAGGGGTTATGCCATTGGACATAACTGTAGGGACAACTACTAGGACCACAGTCTTCTTCGTAATAGATGATCCTACTAGTTACAATGTGTTATTAGGAAGGGATTGGATACACGAAAGTCCTTGCATACCTTTATCGCTCCATCAATGCCTGATTTTCTGGAATGATAAGGGTGAAGTAGAAGTGGTGCAGGTAGATTATAGACCTTTTGTCACAGAAGCAAATTTAGTGAAAATGTTCATGAACAAAGAAAATTACGGACCTGTCAGAGTAGTCCAAGATGGAGAAGAAACTCAAATTGTTGCACAAAGCGAAGAGCCATTTTCAGTATATGTACTCACTGAAATGTTCAGTCAAATGAGGCCAAACATAGTGGCCCTAGAAGAGCCAGTAATTGACAAAAAAGTAATCAAGGAGTTTTAAATGAGTTGTAAGTAACAAAGGCAAATGGCCGATGTTTAGGCCTTCAAAGCCAAATTAATGGCTTTCAATAAAGAATGTAAAGACAAGACGAAAGAAGAAGCAACCTTGAAAGCATTGGGAGACAAATTGACAGTGTTGGAGTTGGAACAAAGTATTGGCTGAGAAGTCAACAAGGTGGATTGTTTAGAAGAAGAAGTGCCTATAAGGAAAATGGACGATGAAGTAATGAGGATCACCAAACCTGGATACGCTCAAGCACAAGACCCTCTGATTAAAGTGAATATTGGCAATGAAGGGGAAGAGCGCCCAACATTCGTCAGTCAAATGCTCGATGATGAGGTTAGTGATAAATTAATCGCTTTGTTAAAGGAATATAAGGATTGTTTTGTTTGGGAATATGAACATATGCCTGGCTTAGATAGAGATTTGGTGGAATATAGATTACTAACCAAGCCAAATTTTAAACCTCATAAGCAACCTCCTAGGCACTTTGCTCCTAATGTACTTCTTGAGATTAAGAAAGAAATAGAGCGATTATTAAAAACAGACTTTATTGGAATAGCCAGATATGTCGAGTGGTTTTCCAATGTTGTGCCAGTACTAAAAAAGAATGGTAAATTAAGGGTGTACATAGACTTTAGGAACCTAAACATAGCCACACCCAAAGATTAATATCCAATGCTTACGCTAGATTCTTTAGTAGACTCGACTGTCGGACACGTAATATATTCCTTCATGGATGGGTATTCAGGATACAATCAAATTTATATAGTTGAGGAAGATATACACAAAACGGCCTTTAGATGCTCTAGATCTCTAGGATGTTTTGAATGGGTAGTTATGCCTTTCGGCCTGAAAAATGCAGGAGCGACTTATCAAAGGGCAATGAACTTAATTTTTCATGATATGATAGGCAAGTTTGTTGAGGCGTATATAGATGATACAGTGGTCAAATCCATTAAAAAAGAGGACCATTTTGAACAATTGAGATGTTCATTTGAGTGAATGAAACAATATAAACTAAAATTGAATCCCTTGAAATGTGTATTTGGTGTTAACGCAGGAAACTTTCTTGGTTTCTTAGTACACAAAAGGGAGATTGAACTTGATAAAAATAAAGCGAAGGCCATTTTAGAGGCCAAACCACCTAGCAATAAAAAAGAATTGCGAAGGTTTCTAGGCCAAGTAAGTTTTTTAAGACGCTTTATTTCTAACTGTAAAGGGCGAACTAAAGCTTTTTCGCCGCTTTTAAAGCTGAAAAATCAGGATGAATTCGTCTGGAAAAAAGAGTATCAAAAGGTTTTTGAAAGCCTAAAGACATATTTATCAAGTCCACCAGTGTTGGTGTCACCAATCCAAAGACGACTAATGAAAGTGTATATATCGGCTGAACAAGAATCAATAACTGGAATGGTCACGCAAGAAGACCAATTTGGTGAAGAAAGGGCGATTTACTACTTGAGTAGACAGTTAACAAAATGTGAATGTAATTATTCTGCCATTGAAAAATTATGTCTTGCACTGTATTTCACATGTACGAAATTAAGGGCTTATTTATGGCTCGTAACCGTTTATTTGATTTTTAGAGTAAATTTAGTTAAGTATATGTTCTTTCGCCTTATTTTACACCAAAGGGTAGGCCTTTGGACTTTAGCGTTATCAGAATTCGAAATACAATACATACCCTAAAAGGCAATAAAAAATCAGGCTTTGGCTAACTTTCTGACCGATCATCCATGCCTTGACATGCCTGAAGAAATTGAATTAGAAATCGATTCATTCGAATTAAAACCTTGGGTTTTATATTTCGATGGGTCAAAAACCTCTAAAGGTGTAGGAGTAGGAGTAGCATTGATAAATTCTTTAGGAATT